GGGCGGGCTGGAGGCTGACAGAGTAACAGTGAATGATCAAATAGCTGCTTCAAACTCTGCCTGAGGCAGGGGTCAGTGGTTGGGGAACTTGAAAGGTGGACTGCAGAGTTGTTCTGGAGATGGTTGTGTTTCTGAGGAGAAATTCAAAGGACTGGCTGGGCTGCTGTGGTGCTCAGATGTTCAGCTGCCGGGACTGATTTTGGGCTGGGAGACTCTTGGCTCTAAGCCTTTCATTGCACTCCTTCTTGAAGGAAGGGAGATGCCCAAATGGAGCTGTGTTCCTGTGGCCCCCAAACTCAGGAGCCAGAGGTCACCTCGAGTTGGGCCTAGAGAATGGGAAAACCTTGGGGTTCTCCTTAGAGTTCTTTTTATTTTTATTTGATTTTATTTATTTTGGCAGTGTTGAGGCTTGAATCCAGGGCCTTGTGCATGCCCTGGCACCGAACTATGTACCCCATCCCAAGGAATCCTTTTCAAACGCAGATGGATCATCTCTCTTCTCTCCTCAAACCCTGCAAGGGCTCCCATGCCACTCAAAGCGACATCCAAAGTCCCCACCCTGGCTACCAGACCTGTACTAGCAGGGCTTCCCCTCAACCACACCCCATGAATTTCATCCCTGTCTCCCACTCCTCTGGCCCTGCCTCACTTTCCCTGGCTGCCAGGCCTCCTTGCTGGGCCTTGAACCTGTGGTCACTCTCTTTGATCTCCAACCTGGAAAGCTCCTTCCTTGACAGCCATATGACTCCCTCTGTTACTTGCTTCAGGGCTTAGCTCAAATATCCCCTTTTCAGTGGAAACTCCCCTAAATCAATCTAATTAGAAATTTAGTCCCCCCAACTCTGTGTGCTCTCTTCAGCCCCGTTTTCTTCATTGGACTTACCACCCTCTGATATGCTACATATGCTACACGTTTGCTCACATGCTCATATTTTCTGTTTCTTTACTGAGTTCCTGTCTCCAGAGTATACTAGAGTATAAGGAAATCTAGAATAGCATATGAACAAGTCACTGAATACCCTAAGGAATCTGATTCAGACAGTTTAGCTTGCTGGACAGAGTGTAAACTTTGTGTTGCATTTCTGGAACTGAATAGTTGGATAACCTTAGTGAGGTTATTTTAACATCTTTGAGCTTCACCGGACTTATTGAAAGCAATATGAGGATAAAGCTGGGCACTGTGGCATGCACCCTTGTATAGTCCCAGCACTCAGGAGGCAGACAGTGGAATCAGTTGACTTCAAGAGTTCGAGATCAGCCTCAGCAATATAGTGAGACCCTGTCTCAAAAAGTGGTGTAGGGGGGTGTTTTTCTGACTTCTCATGGTTGCAGGGAGAGTTAGATAATGGATATAAAGAGCATGGCACATAGTAATGCTCAGTAAATGGATGATGGTTACTGGTATTGTCATTGCCATTGCTGGCAATAATAACAACTTGATTAGTGACAGTGTAGACTCTGGGATGAGCTGACTTAACTAGTGTAACATTAGTCTGGCAGAAATGGAACCAGAATGCATATCTTATGCCCTCTTGGTCTGTCCCAGTTTTACACATCAGTTCCTAAGGCCAGCTGCAGAGTCTGCCCAGGAGAAGGGCAGATGCCTGGCAGTTTATGGGCAGGCCCCAGCCTGTGTGGACCCAGATAAGTGAAGTGGCCTGTCCTGGTTTGAGCTGCACCTGGACATAGCCTGGTGTACACTGGCTGCCCAGAAGGGGGCGTTAGTCCTGTTCCCTCCTTGCTAGTCACTAGGAGGGTCCCACCTGCTGTGCTGCCTGAGAGCTCCCAGGTTTGGCCAGGGACTGAGAGTCCTCGGGGTCAGCTGGGAAGTGGGAGGAGAGACCAAGACTGGAACTCTTTTTTTTTTTTTTTGTACTGGGCATCAAACTCAGGACCTTGCGTTTGCAAAGCAGGCAATGGAACCACTGAGCTAAATCCCCAGCCCCTAGGTTGGAACTCCTGACAGAACTGTCTTCCTCTTTTCAGGGTAGATTTTCTGGGTCAGGAAGAAGTGTTTAAACATCACAGGTGTCCAACTAGAGGGCAGATATGGAGGAAAGCAGGGAGTTGGAAAGAGATCATGTGAGGCTCTGCCAGTGACCAAGGTGGGTCCTGGCCAGAAAGAGGGGTTGGAGAGGGAGAACAGAGAGGGCACCTTGTGACGTTCCCTTCTGGGAAGCACATGAACTCTTCTAGCACCTCTCTACGGCTCCCCAGCAGTGCTCCTTCAGTCATCTGCAAAAGCCCTTTGGGCTCCACCACCTCTCAGAAGGAAGTGTGTCAAGAGAGCCAGCGAGAGCCTGGACATGGAGCCTGTCTGGGCCTAGTAGCCCACTGTCCTAGTGGCCTGCGGACAGGCAGAGAACTGCAGCGGGGCAGCCCGTGGGTGGCTGGCAGCCAGTTTCCCCACCCTGAGGGTGTGCAGAGCTCTGGGCTTCCGGCACAGGCTGCAAATGCTCCTTCTGCACTCGGTGCAGATCTCTGTTCACAGTCCTGGCTCCCTCACCTTTTCCCATTGCTCTCCTAGGACTCAGCAGTGTGTGCATGAGTGTGTGTGCACATATGTGCATGGGATGAGCGTGTGTAAGGGGTGGGAGAGCCCCATTTAATCAGCCCCAGGAGCTCTGACTCCAGCAAGTACCTCCAGTGAGACCCCAAAGAGAGGGAGGCCAGCCCCTCCTAGCCTCTCTAAGGGGGACTTGTCAAGGGGCCCCTTCCCCCTCCTGATGGCATGGTCTCCTGCAGAGCTCTCCTTCAGGGTGTGGATGTGCGGAGGGAGTTTGGAAATCGTCCCCTGCAGCCGGGTGGGCCACGTCTTCAGGAAGCGACACCCCTACAACTTCCCTGAGGGCAATGCCCTCACCTACATCAGGTAGGTCCCAGTGGGAGTAGCCCTGGCAGGGAAGGAGGAGAACATGCCCCTAGACCCCACCCTGCTGATTACCAAGCAACTTCAGCTGCCATGCTACTTCTTGGGTCTCAGTTTCCCCATATTCCCTCCCAGGTCAGATATTCTAGGTTCCCAGTACTTCAAAGGATAAAAGGATGAAGTTGGGAGTATTGTCACCAGCTGTCTCTTGACTCCCTTTGCCCGTGAGAGTCTTGGAAAACTTCCCCAATAACTCCCCAGGGACTGAGTGTCACCCTCCCCCTAGGGAACCCTGGTGCTGGTCATGGATGCCAGTGTCCTGACCTGGACCTGGTCAAGCATTTGTCCATTTATTCCCCCAGCTACAGGGTCCACTGGGTCTCACAGGCGAGTGGGCAGGTGGGCAGTCCTGGAAGCCCCGCTGTCCTGATAGGAGTGGCAAGGGGAGGGTGAGGGGTTGCCATTCGAGTGTCCTCTCCGCCTAAGGGTGATTCTCCACCGTGTCCAGCCCTGGATTCCCCAGTAGCTAACTGAATGGCCTGGGGTTTTATTTTGCCCCTCCCACCCCCCTTTTTTTATAATTATAAAAATCATATGTATGTTCTGCAGAAAACTCAAGCAATACCAAAATAGATTATATATACGTATCTATATTATGTATTCACTTTTTATATTATTACAGAGAAAAAAGTGAAAGTCTTTTACCTATTCTTTCTGCTGTGCATATTCCACTTGCCTCGTCAGAGCTAACCACTGTTAGCAGTGGCTAGCCTATCATTTTAGGCCTTTAAACAGAACTAGCCAGTGTTATTAGACCGCTGACCTAACCTTTCAGGCCTTTAAATATTTTTCTGTACACAGCTCATGCATAGAGAAACACCCACTGCCGTGCATGTGTGCTAGTAGGTGAGCTGTGTACCCCTTCAGTGACACGCTCCTCTGCCCCAACCCTGTGTCACACCCATATGTGTCCAAACCCACTCACCATGGTCCTTTTCTTTGAGGTTGCCTTGTTCTCCATCATGTCACACAGTTATTCTCCCTTTGAAGGGCATTTGGATTGTCACCAATGTTTTGTTGAACAAATATTCATATAGCGGTCCTTTTTGCCCACATGCAAGTATTTTCATAGAATAGATTCCTTCAAGTGGAGTCAAAGAGTAGACATAGCTACAAAGCTTCTGGGTACTGGCAGAGTGTCCTCCAAAAAGATTGTGCTAATTTGTACCACTGCAATCAGCACTGTGTTGTATATTCTCCTGAGATTCTCATCTGAGCTACACAGAGTTCAACTTTTTTTCTTAAATATATATTTTTAATGGACAAAAGTCTTATAAGAGCTGAACTTGATCCTAACCTTAACACTGTCTCCTCTCTGTGACCTTATTTTGCTCCTTCCCCTCTTTTTAGGAATACCAAACGTACTGCAGAGGTGTGGATGGATGAATACAAGCAATACTACTACGAGGCCCGGCCCTCGGCCATTGGGAAGGCCTTTGGCAGGTGGGCCCCCACCTCCCTGGTTGCCTCCTTCCACTCATGTTAGCTCAACCCCAGCAAAATACGAAGTGGTGTGCACACCAGGGAGCCACTAGCAATCTCCCTAGCAACTGAGCCTCCCCTCTTGTGGCTCTGGAAGCCAGAGAGGGGTCCTTGAGGGGCACACACCTTATCAGGGTGTATGAGAGCATCGCCATCCCCAAGCTGCCATCTGCAGGAGTACATAGGAAGGGGTGCCTGCAAAAGACATTTTGGGTTTTACCTCTGTCCCTGTTCCAAATTGTCATCCATCAGCCTATTTTCCTGTCAGGGATGGTTAGGGCTAGAGTCTAGTTAAGCATTTTCAAAATGCAGATGGCTTGTGAAATCAATTTAGTGAGTCGTGACCAGCATTACAAAAGAGGGGGGAAAAACACACCATAGATTAGATTAGAACAGAACAAAATAGAAAATCAGAGCTGATTGTAATGAAGGGTAAGTACTGTTCCATGAAACTCATTTCTCGGGTGGGTGTGCGCATATGCACCTGGGGACACTACACCACACGTAAGATCTACTTACCTCCTCAGGAAGGAGGTCAGGAGAGTTTGAAAACATTGTTAAATGACTGATTGTGAATGAATCATTTTCCCTGTATTTATTTATAGCTATCCCTTTAAAAACAAAGTTACGTTGCTAAACATTTCTTTTAGTGGCAAACTAACACTTAGCAAGGACTCACCCTGGCCTAAGTACTTCACATCCCCCTAAATTCATTTGATTTTTCACAAAAACTTTCTGGAGTGAGTGGTCGTGTCCCCAGTTGACTGTAGGAGAAACTGCGGCTTAGATAGGAGGTTGAGGGGCCTCGGCCGCGGTCATCATGGTTGGCGCAGCTGAGGAAGATGAGGAGACTGAATGCCGGTGTGCCCAGCACACACCGGATAGTTCTTACCGACCAAGATTCCTCAAAGACGTTTAAAGGTTGCTCTTCTTTTTGTTAGACCCTTTCTCCTAAACTGGAAGGCAGGAAGGGGGAATTTGTTGTTCATGAATTCTCTGGGAAAATAAGGACCAACTGGTGGTGTGTGAACTGAGGTCTCTAAGAATGAGAAGCCCAGGATCCCCTGCAAGCTCCTCAAAAAAGTGAGCTCAGAGCAGGATTTGAGCAGAGGAGAGAGGGAGACCCAGGAGGCCTGAAGTGACCTTTGGGTCCCAGGATGATGCAAGCAAGTGGCCAAGGCTGGGCAGGGCAGGCCTCCATGGCTCCTGGCCTACGGGAAGAGAGAGGCCTCCTGGGGCCTGGGCAGGGGCCTCTGTGTCATCCCACCCCACTCCAGGGCCTCATCTCCTCCTTCAGTGTGGCCACGAGGATCGAGCAGAGGAAGAAGATGGACTGCAAGTCCTTCCGCTGGTACCTGGAGAACGTCTATCCCGAGCTCACGTGAGTGCACCCTCAGCTCTTGTGCCACCCCCATACCTCCCACCCACAGTCTGGCCCCTTTTTCTGCCTGAGGGCTGTGGAGGAGCTGGGAGGCCATTACCAGGAGTCATCAATTAGGTGTGACAGGAAGCACATTCCTAAGACTGGGTCTTGGACCTAGAAATGAATATCATCCCTTTGGGAAAACACTGGATTAATGCAGCAAAGGCCGAAGAACCTTTCCTCGCCCTTGACCCAGTTCTCCCCTTTCTGGGAGTTTATCCTGAGGAAATAAAGCAGGCAACACAAAGAGTTGCTGACAGGCAGATACTGCAGGCTTATCTGCTCCCCTCGAAAATGGAGAAGCAGCTAACAATAGGGGCTGGGCTCAGTGAATCCTGATACATCGATTTAAATAAATATTATGCATCTGTTAATATTACAGTCACAAAGGCTGTGAGAAACATGGGGAAATGAGGAAGCAAAGTACAAATGGGGTACACACTGGAACTATAATGGCCCCCTAGGACAGGCCCGTGCGGCTGGTGGGCCAGCCAGGGCTCCTTTTTCCTATGTCCTTTCTGGTGCTGTGGTCCATCCCTATGGTTCATTGCCTCGCCTTCAGATCTTGACCCCAGCCTCCCCTCAGGGACACTCTCCCTGAATACTGACCTGGCAGCAGCACCTGGTCCCCCCCATTTGGATTTTCTTGGTAGGCCTTCCTGGCACCTAGCATATATCTGACCAGTTATATCTGTTGTCACCTCCCACACTTGCCTCTGAGCTCCATGAGGGCAGAGGAGAGGCTTCAATCTGTTTTGTTCGTTGCTTTATTTCCAGCACCTACAACAATGCTTGTCACAAAAGAAGCACTTAATAAACATTTGTTGACTGAATAAATGTCATAGTCGGTAGGCCTCAAGAATGTCTGAAGGTAGCATTCTCTGTGGCTGTCACAAGTGGGGGGTGTGGCTTGTCCTGCTGCTGCCAGCATCATCCTAGGGATGCTGCCATGGCCTTCTGGGAAATTCCACTCCTCAGAGCCAGTGTATCCTTGAAGGAGGCAAATCTTTGCCTTTGAAGACACATTTGATTTCTAGAAAGCAGCCACAGTTAGGTGGTAGCCAAGCCCAGGGAATGTGCTAGACGATAAAACCAGATCAAATCATCCAACATTCCAAATACACACACATGCCTTGAAAGTAATGAGACAGAACTGAGTCTGCAGATGTTTCCAAGAAATTCCAGGACACTATGAGCAACAGCAGCATTGTTGGGAGAAAATTGGCAGCCTGGACAGCCCCAGCTCCCTGGATGACAGCTGTGAAGGGAAGAACATTAAATTATGAAATGTAAGGAGTGAACATTTCTTGAAGTGACTGCTTTAAAGGGACTGAGCTCATCCACTTGTGTCACTTCTGACATGCTGAGGTAAAAAGAGCGGTTGTTTCTCACAGCATTGGGATGGAGCCTGTGGACCCCACACCTTGGGCCATGAGTTGGGAGACCTGGGATTTGAGCTCAGTGAGCCCTGACCTTCCTGTTTTTTCGAGAGAGGCTAGATTCATGTTTTTCTCTGTTATCTTAAAATTTACATGAGGGGTGGTAGCCTGGAATCCCAACACTCTGGAAGGCTGAGGCAGGATGCTCACAAGATATTCTTTCCTATAATTATTTGTAATGGCCTAAGGCTTTTCTGCCTTATGGCTAGATCCGAATTGATTCAGCCCTTCTCCTATTGTTGGATAACTATTCCAGTGTTTTCAGTGTCACCCACTCTGAAATGAAGATCTTTTAACACACCTATAATTATCTCCATAGGTTAAGTTCCTTGAAGTGGCATGGTTAGGTCAAAGGTGTGCACATTTTTAAGGACATTGATTCTTAATTTCACACTGCCCTCCCAGAAAGCTGGAATCATTTATGTTCTCACCGGTAAAATGTGAGAAGATCCAGTCTCACAGTTACTACCAACACTGGGCATTGTCATTAAAAAATACCTGTGTGGGGCTGGGGATTTAGCTCAGTGGTGCCACCGCCTGCCTCGCAAGTGCAAGGTCCCGAGTTCGATCCCTGGTACCAAAAAAAATCCCAAAACACGTATACGTATGTACTCAAATATATATGGTAAACAAATAGTGGTGACTCTCTAACATGTATTTCTTTAATTGCTGGCGAGACTGAGCAGATTTTCATGTTTGTGTATTTCAAGTTGTCCTCTTCAAACAATGGGCTCCCTGTCATTTTGAGATTTGGTCACGAGCCCAGTTTGGGCCCCATCTTCTCCTCAGGCTTCCTCTTCTGGGACAAGGAGCCCTATGTTTTGGCCTGAGCTCTCCCCTCCAAGGTCCTCTGGGTCTCAGGCCTGGCCTCTGGGTGGCCCCTGGGCCTCGTGGAAGAACCTTCTGGAAGCTGAGGCCCAGTCTTCCCAGAGGTTGCTCCTGCCCTGCTCCCATCCCCACTGGGCCTGTGGCTCACAGAGGCCTTGGTGACCAGGCCCTGTGTTCTGGCAGAGGGTATGGGTAAGCAGGGAGGGCAGGCCCCAGCCTGATTGCTGTCTTTTCTCTTAGTGTCCCTGTGAAGGAAGTGCTCCCTGGCATCATTAAGCAGGGGGTTAATTGCTTAGAATCCCAGGGCCAGGACACAGCTGGTGACTTCCTGCTTGGAATGGGGATCTGCAGAGGGTCTGCCAAGAATCCCCCACCACCCCAGGTAAGCTGCTGAGGGCCTGGGAGTCAGGACTGGGGGCCGGAGAGAAGCCAGGGGCGCAGGTCAGGAAGGGGCCAGGGGCTTCATGCTGCTCGTTTTGTCTACACCCTCCTCAAACCCTCTTCTCATGGGCCCTCACACTCTGCATACTTTCGCCATGCACTTCCTCCTTGTCACCCAGACAATGACCAGTTCTCCCTGGAGTGCAGCTATGATTGGCTCGTTTGATAAGCAGCAACCTTCAGGACTCTGCACATGAGTGAGCACATGAATGTCACCCCCATCAACACTAGAGCCAGGGCCGGGGATTTAGCTCAGTGGTTCCACTGCCTGCTTCGAAAGCACAAGGACCCGAGTTCGATCCCCGGTACCAAAAAAAAAAAAGAAAGAACGAAAAATAAAAAACACTAGAGCCAGCCATGAAGACCTCAGCAGGGCCCACTTCCCGGGCTGCCCTGGTCCCATGTCCTGGTCCCATTAGCCTCTCCTGTCCCCATTGTATCTTGACACCTCCTTGATTGCCCTCTGGTTGGCTCCAGCTAAGCTTCCACATCTCAGTATTTGATAATAAACACTGTTCAAGTTTATAGAAAAAAATGAGCTGGGTGTGGTGCATGGCTGTAGTCTCAGCTCTCTGAGAGGCTGAGGCAGGAGGCTCTCAAGCTTGAGCCTAACCTGGGCAACTTAGCAAGGCCCAGTCTCAAAATAAAAAATAAAAAAGGCCTGGGTATGTAGTTCAGCGTGAAAGCCCTCAGTTCAATCTCTAGTATGGAAAAGGAAAAAATGAAAGCTTGAGAGATATGTGCAGTGAATACCAATATACTCTCCCCTTGCTTCTCTAATTATTTGTGGAAAATTCTACAACAGTATATGTACCTGCTTTATCACTGGTCTTCCCACTTCCATCCAGAGCGGTCCTTTCCTTGTCTTGCAGGCCTGGCTGTTCAGTGACCATCTCATCCAGCAGCAGGGCAAGTGCCTGGCTGCCACCTCCACCTCCACGGCCTCTCCCGGGTCCCCAGTCATCCTGCAGGTGTGCAACTCAAGAGAAGGCAAACAGGTGAGCCTCCAGGCCTGGTCACAGGTGGCCCACACCCCCAGGGGGACGTGCAGCTGGTGGTGGCAGTCCGTGACAGGGGAGCCAGCCTAAGACCCGCAGTCTCAGATATGCCCTCCGGAGTGAGGAGCCACAGGACCTCAGTCAACATCTGGGTCCGACCTATGATTTCACTTGTGAAGAATTACTTCTTTAGGTAAGTATTTGTTTCACAGCAGTCCTGCCGTCTGAGGGAGGAGCTGTTAATGCTGTTTGTCTTGTTAATGCTGTTTCCTAGCCCGCTGCTGCCACACAGCTTAAGTAAGTGGGGGCTCTTCCTGCTAGCCTGTGCTGGGGTCTCACGCGGCTTGTCACTTCCCACCCTCCCTGCCCCCCAGGGATGGGTCCTAGTACCAGCCCTGTTTTACAGGCAAATAAACCAGGCCTTGTTGACCATACATCTGGGACAGGGTAGAGCTAGGACTTAAACTTACAGTCTTTTTTTTTTTTGTACCGGGGATCAAACTTGGGGCCTTGTGCTTACGAGGTAGATGGCGTAAACTCACAGTCCGAACTCGGGTCCTTGTGCTTGCGCAGCAGGCGGCGAAACCACTGAGCTAAATCCCTGGCAAAACTCACAGTCTTAACAGCACCTAGTAGGTCCCCAATCAGTATTTCTTGACTGCTGGCTAACTGGGGAAACTGAGGCTCAGATATGGTGATTTTCAAGCTTATGTGACTGGCTCGTGTGAGGCTGGTCCATTTGTCCATCACTGTCACCCACACTGCCCCCATGAGTCCTGGGAGACAGATCAGGGTGACCTGCAAGGCAGAAGCTGAAGCTTAGAAAGATGAAGCCACCTGCTCAGGACACTCAGCAGCCAGTGAGGAGGAGAACCTGGCTCCCTGCTGTGCCGCCACTTTCCTGGCCAGAAGGGCTCCCTGCTCCCAGGGTGCAGGACCCAAGGCCAGAGGCTGCTCCAGCCCTTGCCCTCCCCACCCTTCTGGTAGCCTCCTGTGCCTGACTGGCCAGCTGCACTAACTTGTAGGGCTTTCTCCCACCCCTTGTCTTCTTTCCTCTCCTCCTTTCCTCTCCCCTCTCTTTCCCACATCTCCTCTTGTCTCTTCTCTACTCTTTTTTTTTTTCTTTTTCCAATACTGGGAATTGAATCTAGGGCCTCCATGCTAGGCACGAATGCCATCACTGAGCTACCTGCCCAGGCATTTAAAAAAATTTTATTTTGAGATAAGATCTCACTAAGTCGCCCAGACTGGACTTGAACTTGGGATCCTCCTGCCTCAGCCTGTCAAGTAGCTGGGATTACAGACATGCACCCCCCCCCCAGCTCTCTCACTCCTTTTCTGTTTGCCTAGGTCAGCTCTTTAGGGATGACTGGAAGTTTGCTGTTCCATTCAGGAAAAGCAGCCAGGTCCTCTCCCACCATCCTCTGCCTGGAGTTGTGCGTGTGTGTGCGTGCATATGTGGATGGGGGGCTGCTCGTTGGCCCTGCTGGATGCTGCTGAAGTGCTTTCCGGCTGGGGGATGCAGCTTGTTCTTTCCACCCAAGGTTGCACACCATCTGCCCTGCCCTGTAGCAGGCTCGCACACAGGCTGCCCTTCACCTGGTGCTCCCCAAGGGAAAGCCTTGAGCCCATGCTGCCTGCTGTCTCTTGAGACCAGAGGGAGGAAGTGTCTGCCAGGGCAGCCTCCCCTCGAATAATTTCCTGGGCTGAGGCATCCGTTTTCCCAGCTGGCCTGAGCTGGCCCCTTCATTCTGCTCCTGCAAGTCCTGCTGGGCCGCAGAGCGCTCTCGGTGCCTGTGCCTCTCCTCTCCCAGAGGTACTGGACCAGCAGCTCTCCCTTGCCACAAGAGGCCTCTGGCCTCTCCTGGTCTGCCTTTGGCCCTGTTCACAAGGCTAGCTGGGTTCATGCATCCGAGAGGCTCGTGTGCCCTAGACCAGGTGTGATGGAGGTGGCAGGTCCGAGCTCTCACTCCCTGCACCCCTGAGCCCCAGTCTCCTCCTAAAACAGGAGGCTCCCTTTTCTGCTGCCCTGCAAGGAACCTGCAGAAAATGGAGGCTGTGGATCGGTGAGAGCTGTGATGCAATGTCTTATCTCCAGGCAGTGGCCTGGGGAGTTAGAGAGGCCTCAGATGGCCTGGCGGCACTGTAGGTGTGAGAATCCTGCTGCTTGGAGAGCACCTCCTAGTGCCTGGGTGATTCATTCCTTCATCATGAAACAAAAATGCACTGGGTGTCTCCCTTGGGTTATGAAACGTACAGATCATTTTGAGCACAAGGATGAAAGAAGGACATGAACTGGACGTCCAAGTCACTTACGTGGAAGAGGAGGGGCTGCTATGTTACAGTTGGCTCGATACCGAGGTCACACTAAACCTGGTCACACTAAGCCTGGGCTGCAGCCCTGGGGGAGGGCCCTGCCTGCGACCTGGATGTACGGTCAGCAGGACAGGGGGTCAGCAGGACCTCCTGGGGAGTTAAATGTGAGGGACTAACGGGTGCAGAGCAGAAGAGTGCCATGAGTTGTAGGGGCCCAAGGCCTTTCTCACCCCCTACCCCTGACCTCTAGGCTTTCAGCTGGGATCACATGGCCTCTCACAGCTTCTCATTCCCAAAGGAAGCCCAGACTCCACAGCCCCTACTTCCCACCTTGTCTATCCCCACAAACCCCTGCACCCATAGCCCTGGCCTGCATCTGGGTGCAACTTGTCTCTTTTTCGCTGCCTGCTCCATGAGCCCTTCTGCTCATACCCCTCTAGGCTCCATCCACATGGTCAGGAGCACTCCCACCTCTTATGGAGGACAAGATGGATGTAGGAAGAGAGGAAATGAGAGAGAAATCAGAGAGAAACCAAAAATAGACCTGCCTGGCTATTCATTCTTCCCTGAGACCTGAAACCTGGATCTCAGCTTCTCATCCCTTCTCTGTGTTCCAGGCCACACTTTGTCCTCCATCCAGGCTTTTCTAAAATGTTCTACCCACCTGTCAGACCTGGGGGAGGAAGGCCCCAGGAAGTGAAGGTATGATTGGGAACTTGAGTATTCCCAGCATTCCACTGGACACCCATGTCTGCAAAGATGGCGGTCAGTTCCCATTAGAAGGTATAGGTAACCAGCCTCATGGTTACAGGCCAGGTGAGATGCGTAGGGCTGCATGAAGAAGAAAGCTCATTCAAGGAAGAGATTCATCAAGGCTAGAACTCACAGGGTGCTGGTGGGGAAGTCCCACAAGAGAGAAGTCAGGACCACACAGGCACTATGGCAAAATGGAGAATGAGAGCCCCATCTAAAGCAGAGAGCAGGTAAATCCTGAGCCCTGTCCACTGAGGCCACACAAGAAACTGGGCCCCATCTCCAAGCAGAAACTAAAAATGCAGACTTCTATGTGGTAACTGAGCCGAATTTTAAGTAAACACTGTGCCAGCCAAACAAAATCTAGGTGCCCAAGGGCATCTACATTGCCTCCTCTGATCTGGATAGCAACTAATGCCAAACTACAGAGTGGGGCTCAGAGCTTCTGGTGGGGTGGTTGGCCCCTTTCACAAGGGAGAACAGTGTGTTTTCAGTGAAGGGATTTGCCTAGGCTTGTATACACACATGTGAAATGAAGGTGCAAGCATTATTATTTTTTAATTGTTTTTTTCCCTCTTTCCCCCAATCTTTTCCAGAAATGGAAGAGAAAAGGATCTTTCATCCAGCATTCCATCAGTGGCCTCTGCCTGGAGACGAAGCCTGCCCAGCTGGTGACCAGCAAGTGTCAGGCTGACGCCCAGGCCCAGCAGTGGCAGCTGCTGCCACACACATGACGATAGGCTCGGGCCTCCTGTACCTTTTGCATGAGACTTTGGGACCAGAAGGGGGTTAGGGTGGGGATCAAGTGGGCTGCTTCCATCTCCTCACATTTCTGCCAGGATCATCAGCAAACACCCCTGTGATCTGTTTCTCCAAAGCTTGGTCTAGGGAGGACTCAGGGGGCCACCCTGCCAGGTTCTGGGAGAGGCAATGGTCAGGGTACTGGGTTGTTGCTGGCAGACTGGGCAGGTGCCCTTTGTCCTCTCCCTTGGCCCTTCTTGGGCCCAGACAGTGGTGTGGGGCTCTCCCCTTGTTGCTTGGGGGTAGCAAGGACAGAAGCCTACAGAGGGGCCAACTGGGATCCTGGGGCCAGCGTGGGGACAGCAGGAGAAGTGGGCGGTGTTTGTGGAGAGGCCAAAGGCTGGGAAGAGAGGGAGGGAGAAGAGAGGGGCCACCTGCAGGGGTTGTCAGCAACTAGGAAGGAGGTGAGCTCAGGGGCCTGTGCAAGAGATGCCAAGTCCAGGGGCTTGGGTGTGGCAGGAGTAGGCTCCTGGGGTAAAGGATGGGCACTTTGCAGAGGAACACAGATGGACCGAAGCATTAAAGAACAAGGCCTCAGGACATCATGCCACCCCCTTCTCGCCAGCCCTGAGCTGAGCCTGAGACGCGCCCAGTCCTGACTCTGGGTGTCCACAAGCTCAGCAGGAGGCTGCGGAGGGATCTGGGGTATCGTTTTAAATGGACTCCACTTCGGTTTGGCTGTGTGCCCACCAAGACCTCTCTTGAGCCTTAACGACCAGCTGGGGCCCTGTCTCCTCTGCCTGAGCCCACTGGGAGGATGGGGAGCCACATGCACCTTTGAGCAGCCCCATGCTCACTGGCCTTCTGCTTTCTCTCGGATGGTTGCCTCTGTAAATACAGCATCGTGAGTCAGGGTGGCCAGGAAGAATGGGACCTCCTTTCTGGAGCCGAACATCCCCTAAGTGACTAGGGGCTAAGCTCCCCAGGCCAGACCTCATTCGGTCCCTTCCCCCGACGGGAGGATTCCCTCCAAGGCTCAGCTGTTGCAGTGGGCTGGGAGGCTGGCTGGTGGCTCCTGTTTGGGTAGAGAATTCCCAGATCCTTCTCCCAGCCCCTGAGAACACAACTTCCACTCCTCCATGGCCCTGTTTTGGGATCCCCTCTGTTCCCCCAGGCCCCCGCCCCAACCCTTCCTGCCCTGTGCCACTGGCTTAGGCAGTGTGATTGTCGGGAAGGGTTGTTGGTACTGGAACCCCTGGAATCTCTGTACCGACGCAGACTATCCTGGTGTGGACACCCCTACCTAGTCTTTCAGAGAAAGTACATGCTCATGGCGATTTCATGGATTCCAGAAGGTTTAGGAAACTCCAGAAATTGTCCCCACAGTATCCCATGATGTGTGTGCATATATGCGTTTTCCTGGGGAGAAGGTCTACGGACTTCCCCAGCTCCTTAAAGAGGTCCCTGATCCCCAAAGGGCCCCAGTCTCTGCTTTGGAGTGGAGCCACCATTTATCTGAGCTGCCACCCCCCATATTCCTCCCTGCTGTGCCTAAATCACCATTGCCCTGTTCCCCCCACGTGGCCCTTGGGTGAGGAGCAAGCACCGGTGGTCTGCAGCACCGCCCTGGGGTGGTCCAGTGCTCTCCTCTCACCAGCACCCCTTGGACTGCTCCCGTCCCCAAGTATGTGCAAGCCTCCAGGCTCAGCACAGGGGTCCTCCTCGGTGGCTTCACTGTCCCCTTCCTCTGCTGTGGTTTTACTGCTGCCGTCCCGGGATCTCCTATCCAAGTGGGAAGCCTCCTGCACCAGCTGAGGACAGAACCGGGGCCAGGGTGAAGACTGCTCCTTGGAGCCTCAGCCGGCTTGGCTGTGGGCTTCTCTCAAATGTAAGGACTGCTGCTCAGAGCGCCTTTGAGATCTCTCCCTTACTTCCTGTGGCCACCAGGCTCTGCACTCGTCAGCTATCCTTTGTTGGGAACTCAGCCCAATTCTGGTTTTGCTTTTCCTCCTGTTGACCAAAGCATGTGCCACTAGCTGTCCTTGAGGACACTGTCTTTATGAAACACACACCTGGAATAAAACCACTTATTACAAGTTCACATATACCAGCGTCTTCCTTTCCAACTCCCAAGCCTACCCTCCACACCCCCTCCCTCACCTGGGGACAGTCGGGTCTCACCTGTGTAGAAGTGAGACTGCATGGGTTCAAGTCCAACCCTGTCCTGCACATCGGGCCTGCACTGGGAGACCCAGCAGTGGCCCCGCCACTAGGGCAGGCCAGGGACCGGAGCCCAGGGACCAGTGACTGTCAGATTGAGCTTGGCCTCCTGTTGCCTCATTGTGGGACACAAGGCTCATTGCTGAGCCTTGGAAACAGACATCCTGGGACTTCTCCCAATCGATGTGGCCCCACCAACATTGGTGCCTTTAGCCAATACTCTGTCCTTGCCTAGGATCCAGGCCTGGCCCCTCTGAGCTGCCCTTCCCCTCTGCTGCTACGCAAGAAGGCAGTGGTAAAAATTCAGGCAGGATATTCAAAATAATTCTAGAAAGAGTTGTATCAACCTAGGCTTGCTCGATGGGATAGCAGATGTTCTGCCTAATGTTTCCTTGGAAACCAGTTGGAAACCCCCACCATTGCTGTGATCAGAAGCTGAACCTACCCAGGTAAAAATAAACGCTGCTTCATTACACATAGAAACTATGGGCCTGGGTGCCACAAACCTCCCCTGGACGTGGTGATTTCTGCTCCAGTCTCTACTTTTCTCAGGACTTCTGACCTAGGATTCTCTGGAACTTCTGACCCTGGAGCATGAGGAGCCTGGTGCAAAGCCCTGGCTGGCTGCATCTGGCTTGGTTTGAATGTAGGAAGTGAGTCCCCGCAGAATCCTCTGGCTGCAGTCTCCACCTGTCCCTCTGTGCCCCTTCCCCTTGGGGAGCCCAGCCCACTACCCAGCCCTTCTCAGGCTTCTTCTTGGCCAGGCTGGGCCGGCTTCCCCCTCTCCATCCATTGTCACCCAGCCTTGATGGGCTCTGGGATTGGCTTCTCCTGAGCCAGGCTCTCTTCTCTTGCTGTCCTCCAAACCTGACTCTCCTACCTCCCTTTTCTCCCTGGAACTGAGGCTATTTGCCTTTAGCCAGGGCCCCTTAAGGGCTCAGCAAAAGCCCCCAGGCTGGCTGTTAACAGTGGGCTTTACATACCTGGGTAGGAGGGCTGGGTGGCCAGGGACATCTACCCTGGGACTGGCCTCTGTTCCTCCAGTCAGGAGCAGTTGATGATCCTGGGCCTTTGAGACCTGGTTTCTGGTTTGTTTTAGCAGTACTAGGGAATCAAGCCCCAGAGCCTCATAGGTGTGAGGCAAGTGCTCTACCTCTGAGCTATATCCTGGTTCTCTTGGCTTTGATTTTCAGAAAGGCTCTTCCCCAGGCCCTCAGTAGGGTTCTCCCATCTGCAGTTGGGGGAACTAATCCAGATGACATTGCTGTTCTCCAAGGGGTCTGGTACCCCAAGACCTGGGTGAAATGGATGGGGTGCAGTCCTTTCTCCCAGGGAACCGGACAGGCTGGAGTTCATGATGTCCACATGTCAGTCCAAGGATGTACTAGTGTGGATGGTATTTGTATGTACTGCGGAGTCAGTGTCCCTTCAGAAAGTGGGAGGAGAACCTGCCAACTCCTCTCGTGGTAAGAAGTCTTCATTGGAACTTAGCAATGGTGGATCCAAGACATGGCCACTTACTCCTGGTTACGACTCAGCTGGGCTGTTTGAGTAGCCTACTGGATTTGTTCTATCCAAGTGAGTTAGAACAATAGAGATGTGCCACACTCTGCATCAGATTGGAGTCTGTTTATGAAAGCTAGCAGCTGAGAGGGGGCTAATGCCTGGAAAATTCTCTTGGCCCTGAGAAATGGTTTGATTTCTCCTTTTAAATCATGCTTTCAGCTGGGGAGGGCTCAAGGGGAGAGCAAGCTGAATTTTACAGAAGCAGAACCATGCCAGGTTAGTGGGGGGCGAGAGGAAGTTTCACACGCTAGGTGAGCTACAAAACATCCTACAACTGCAGCAAATTGACTGCCAAACAGGATGCGGGGGTTTGGGGTGCTTTGTCCAAGCACAACCACTTTGTCCAAGCACGGGTACAAACTGATGTTGGGGCTCAAGATGGAGTTGGGTTGGCTATCAGAAATTGAGGCTCCAGAGCCACCTGAAGTCAACTCCCTCCCACCAGTCCACCTGTGGAGTGCAGGGAAGAGTGAAACAGACTCTACAGACCCCATTTGCCAGGCCAGCCCCACTCTGCTGCTTTCTGCTGTATAAACTGGAAGAAATCGTTTCATCTCAGCCTTGGTTTCCTGACCTGTAGAACGGGGGCACTCATAACCCTGGAGGATTTTTGTAAAGATTGATTTATTTGATGATTGCAAAGCATCTGGCCCTTTCTAAATCCTAAGCAAATCTACTACGGTATTACTATTATTACTAAGCATTTTCTGAATTCCTGCCACATACCAGGCCCTTTGTAAAGGGGATGACACAAATGTTAACAAGACAGAAAAGGGACCTGGCCTCGAGAGAGCTAATATTCTAGCAAGGAGAATGGGAAGATAAACAACAGTTTATAAACTGTAAGAACTGTAATAACACATGATAAAAGCGCTAGTCATGAGATGCACAAGATGGGTCAGTGAGTGGCTCTGTCCCTCAGAGACAGCTTCCAGGACAGCTTGAAATGACATCATGAGCTATGCCTGTCTTGGGCTGGGTGAGGTCCAGTGAAATCAGCAGCCACCCTAGCCAGGCTGGCAGTGCAGCAGGCCCTTTGCTGGGTGGCCTGTGACTCTGTACACACAGCATCGTGGTGAGGTGGGCCACCCTGTGACTCAGAACTCTGGAAGCCAAACAGACAGGTCTCTGTCTCTTGGTCATGGGGCCATTTCTCCAGGGCTCAGTTTTCTCCCTGTGGGGAGCAGTGGGATTAGGGGGCCTGGAAAATAGTGTTGCTTGTCTGGAGAGAATGAGCACAGTGGTCAGGAGGCTCCAGGAAAGACTTGTTTTTCCTTTGCTCTGATCCCCTCAAACCATCTGAAAACCAATCCCATCTTGCAACAAGTTGTCTTTCAAATAAATGTTGCTCCTGGTGTGGCCCAGATAACCTACTCAGAGCCCATTGAGGTGCCTGGAAATGGGTGTGCTCTGGGCTCTGGCCAGACTGGCTGCTCAGAATTCCTGTATGTGTAGTGAGTGGCCTGGGTCATGCGGGTGCACATGTAAATCTTTGACCCACTGCAGGAGGAGACCTGGAGGCTGGCAGGGGCAGCACTCAGGGTAAGAAGGCCATTCCTGCTGCACTTCCCAAGGAGCCAGAAGAATGTGGGAAGCAGATCTAGGAGCCAGAGACCCAAGCCAAGCAGTGGTGAAGCACTCCCAATGGGGCATTGTTGGCTGAGGGGAGCCCGAGCTGGCAGGAGAGAGTGGGGCCTGGGTCCACAATGAGGGGAGGACTCTGAGGGTGGCTGCTAATGGGCCACACCAGGAGGGTCCCTGGCTGGCTCCTGCCTGGCCTGCCGGGTGGGGCATGGCCAGAACCTACTGCATCCACTTGGTGGGCCTCTTGCAGCTGCAGAGCTGTGGGTTTCTCTGCTCCTTGAGCCAGGATGACTCTGCTTTCCAAAACCTTGGTTTCCAGGGAGGTAGAATAGGGTGGGGAGTTGTTAACAAGGTAAAGTAATGGAGACAGCAGTGGCACTTTAGGCTTTCACTGGATGTGCTCTGTGGCCTGCTGACGTCACATGGGGTCAGCCCGGAGACTGCCTTCATTCTGGGTAAGCAGCTCTGGGCAACGGTGCAAGCCCCTCTGGACTGACCTCCTGCATCACCCAGACTTGGGTGCCTGTGGCAGCAGCATGGGGTACAGCCTCAAGCCCGTGATGGACGGCATGCTGAGCACCTCCCCCACCATGGACGAAAAATGGGCTCCAAGGGCCCTGCAAACTACTATGGTCAAGGGCATCCAGTACCCACCACGTGCCAAGGCAAGCCTGGTTTCAACCTTCTCTCCCTTACCCTATACTCCAGCCAACTGGACTACATTCTGTTTCTCTCTTTTTCTTTTAGCAGTACTGAGGATTGAACCCAGGTACATTCTACCATTGAGCCACATCCCCAGCCTTTTTAGAAATTTTGAGAGACAGTGTTGCTAAATTGCCCAGGCTGGCCTCATACTTGCAATCCTCCTAAATAACTGAGATCACCGGCATGTGCCACCATGCCTAGTGTGTCCAACTTCTTGAAGCTCCGTCCTGCTTTCTCGTTTGTATTTTTGCTGTTCCTTTTGCCCTCTACCTTGTCATCTCCATGAGCCAAATGCTACCCATTCTCCCAGACAAAGGCTGCTTCTGCAAAGAAACCCCTAGCCTGAAAAGACTCTGTCCAGCTTGTTTCTTGGGGTTTCTTTTTTTGTACTGGGGATTGAACTCAGGCCCTTGTGCTTTCAAGGCAGGCGGTAGAACCACTGAGCTAAAGCCCCGGCTTGGGGTTTCGATTGTTCCTCTCCTGCCTCAATCCTCATCATCTTTCATAAGCTGTGATGTGCACCTGTCTCCTCTGGCCATTGTCTAACCTGTCCTACTCTAGCTGTATATCTCATGTGCATGAATGAAAAGATAAAGCATCCAAGCTGTGTTTATTTTTGTTTGTATTTTTAGGATAAAGCATTCTTGGGCTGGTGGGTAGGGTAGCTCAGTGATTGAGTGCTTGCCTAGCATGAATAAGGCTCTGGGTCCAATCCTCAGCACTGGGGGATAAAGAGCACACTTGCATTCAGGAATTAGCACATTGCATATAGAAAACCCTCAATATATGTTTTAAAGTTTGGTCTCTTCACAGCTCCACCCTTCCTACTTAGCAGCCTGTAAGTCTCAGTAACAATTTGCTGGTGCTACTGGGAGCTGATGCAGAGAAGCAAGTATTTCCTGAGTACTAGAATCTTGATGAGGCTCCTATCATGTGCACCCCGTGAGGCAATTCCTACACACCCAACCAATGGGTGAGGGAGTGGAGGCTCAGCTGGGAGAAGAATCTTCCCCAGGGATAAACAGCTGAG